TTTTGATTTTTTTGTTAGAAAATGGATATATGATGTTAGATCTACTAGTTCTAGGCTAAACCCAGTTGAAAACAAGTTAAAACACAGCAAAAACGAGCTAAAAATGAGTTGGCCGCCATTGTTAGGGTTTGACATAAGCTTGGGTGTGTTGGAGAAGATGAAGYGTAAATTACGATTTTGRCATTKATTGAATAAGTCTACCACTACTATAAATAAATATTATAAYTCTACCACTACTACAAATAAGTCTACCACATATTATAAATCTACCACTACTACATATTATAAATGTACCACTATTATAAATAAATCTACCACCACTGTAATAAATTAAGGTCATTTCATTAAAACTCTGAAAAGATTTAATAAGTCTACCACAAATACAAATAAGTCTACCAAATTTTATAAATCTACCACAACGTTAAACAAGTCTACCATCGGGCGAAACCAGAATTAAGTCTACCACTACTAAAGATAAGTCTATCAGATATTATAAATCTACCACTACTATAAATAAGTCTACCATCACTAACCATTAGTAAGTCTACCGATCAAAAAAATAAATCTACCATCACTACAAATAAGTCTACCGATCAGAAAATTAAGTCTACCAGTACTACAAATAAGTCTACCAAATCTTATAAATTTATCACTACTATAAACAAGTCTACCATTGCGCGAACCATAAATAAGTCTACCACTACTACTAATAAGTCTATCACTCGTCAATAAATCTACCATGACTATAAATAAGTATACCGTCGCACGAATCATCAATAAGTCTACCAATCACAACAATAAATCTACCACAACCACAAATAAGTCTACCACAGAAAAATAAATCTACCACCACTATAAATAAGTCTACCACTACTACGCATAAATCTACCGTTACTACTCAATAAGTCTACCACTACTATAAATAAGTCTACCACTACTATTAACAAGTCTACCACTACCTGAACCGTAATAAGTCTACCGACCACTTAATAAATCTACCACAACTACAAATAAGTCTACCGATCCCAATATTAAGTCTACCAGAACTACAAATAAATCTACCACATTTTATAAATCTACCACAACTATAAATAAGTCTACCATCGCGTTCACCGTAATAAGTCTACCAGACGTTTAATAAGTCTACCATAACAGAATGGTAGACTTATTTCATTTTGGCGGGAAAAAATTTCGCCCTCATTAATGGCAGTTTCGTAAATACGTTTTTTGTCTTCAAATGAAAAAAGGTTAACATAGGCATTAAAATTTTTTCAAGTTCATTCTAGTAATATTCAAAGATAAAAGCCATTCTACTCCAAATCTTTGCTTGACAAAGTCATTCTAGTAAAGTACCCCAATAAAAAATATACATATAATACAATTCACTTGTAAGAATTGAACATAGAAAAAAGAGGTCAGATCGCTATACAGTAAACCTGCGCAAAGGCGGATAAATTTCTAATGTCTTGTATAAAAATTAAAAATATGAGAATCTATTCAAAGCCTCTTAGTTCTCTCATGTTTACATCATTGCTTTGGAATTAGTATCTGTCAAGTTCATTGCTTTGGAATTAGTATGGTGTGGAATCTGATGATGCCTTTTCTATATAGCTAAAGCTGCATTTCTATCAACAAAATTGAGCAGTTCTGTTTGTGCCGCTTCCATTATCGCACCGAAGTCTATGCTGATGTACCTTCCCCTGCGAATCCATATAGTTCAACACATCACATGTACCACCATATCATCAACATTACTGTAACAATCACTTGCATATGGCTTGGTTTAGATGAAGATTGTTATACCAGAAATGAGTCTTGGACCAGATTGAATTGGGAAAAGCTGGACTTCCAACTCCATGCATTATTCTCGCGATAGCTCTTGGTGTGAATTTCGCCTGGCGATTACTCTGCAAAAACACCTGTTTTTCTCCCAACATTAACTGAACATTCTTCGGATACATAGCAAACCAGAAAAAAAAGTTAAAACAAACTGTGGCTTCTTGGATTTTTACCTTTATGTCCGCTCGTAGAAATGCGCTGCAACCACAATTTAAGCATTGATCAATTTAGTGGAAAGACCGTACTTTGAGTAGACAAAAAAACAAAGTGGGGAAGAGTGAAACAATTTGTTAGTACCAATTTTGAGTCGTCCTGCTTGGAGTGTCACAGTTTTCGTCTCCATTGAAGTACTCCGAAATTCTGCTTTGCAGGCTCAGAGTTTGCTTAGCACCAGAGGTAAGTTCTGGAGTGTCGGAGACATTTATAGCGGCCACGGCTGCACTAGACATAATATCTAGTTTTCTCACCTATTTCAAATGTAAAAATATTGTTCCATAAAAGTGCAAGCGTTGGAACTTAAATTTAGATAGACCACGAGAGGTTGAGAAGCTATTAGTTGCAGGATAAAGTTAAAGAACTTACTTTGCAAGTTTCAATCTCTGTGAGCCACTTGGTAAGATGACTGGACAATGAACACATATCCCTTGGAAATTCTAAGATTGTGTAACAAAAGGCAGGGTCCTTCATCTCGTATGTTACTTCCCCCTTCATCTACAATGATTTTAAGGGACAGGTCAACGAGCGAAATCTTGGAAAGTATATAACCAAATCATTATAGTCAATCAGAGGAAGAGAACAGAAGTTTCTTTATGCTTCAACCAGAACTCTTATGAGACAGAACAGAAGCAATTGAACAAACTAATGAAATATGATCCATCTTGTATACTTTTCCCCCAATGAAATTGTATTCATTTTTATGCAGTAAAGCCTAGATCAATAATCCACAGATATAATCAAACTTTATCATGTCATGATACTAATGAAATTTCTCTTCTATATCCTACTAGAGCCATATTCTTAGAAGATACTTCATATATCATTCAGTTCTGTTCATTCATATGTCCTTCCGTTCCTTAGACTTAAGTTTCTTCTTCATCTTTAATGTGTGCAATTCAATCATGGTTCGTTGTTGAGTTCAATATGCTAATTTGAGACGAAATGAAATTGAGATATCTGGTACTAAGCCATAGATTCATAATGGAGAGAAAAATCAACCTTCAGTGTTTGAATCTCAGCCAAGACATCTGTTGTTGCAGAACCTATGCTAGAGGCCACAGCTGGTATATCGAAGATGTATAAACCTTGCTTCACCTGAGACCTGAAACCACAGAAAAGTTACGAACATTGCTGCAATTCTGCTACTTCTTCAGAACTGTTTGACCTAAGAAGCTGAAGACAAGGGATAGACACTTACTTCTTCAGAATAGCTGCGACTATGCTACTTCTTGCAGCCAGAGTATTTGGAGAAGACTGCATATAGCACAACAATATTGAAGCATCTCAACAAAACAACACAAGGAAATAATATTGGAGCTTGGCACTAAACAGGAAAGCATTCAGCTTACAGCTTCCTACCTTGTGGAAATTTAAAGTGCAACATACGTTGAGCTGTGGAAGCATACGTAAATATTGCACTTCCCCCAGCTCCAAATGTGTCAAAATCGTTTGCATAACCTGACAGATTCGCAATGAGAATTCAGAATATTCTTTATGCAAACGTTTATATCCTGCCCACTATCTCACAAGGGCAGACACTTGATAATATAAGGGTAGAGAACAATAAATCCCAAGAAATGCCGTTGTAACAAAGGTTCAAGAAAATACCTCTTCCTTCATATCAAATTTATGAGAGGCAGAATCAATGACTAGCGAGCATATCTTCTCATGTTGCTTTGTCTCAGAGGAGAACACATGGGTGAGAAATTTTCCAGCTGCATATTCATCGACACCATCACTGAACAAGAAGGAGAAAACAAAATTTAAAAAATGTAAAAGCCTCTTAATCCAGTGCCATGACAGGTAATAGTACCCACACAATCACCTGTGTGCAAGACTCCGGAGCTTTAGATATGTGGTATCATCATAAAAAAGATGGCAATAAGACAAACGCCCGTCTCGACCAGCTCGTCCAATTTCCTGTAACAAATACACTTAGTAACCTGTATATGCAATCTGATCACTAAGCTCAAGAAAGGATTATGGAAACAAAAAAAAGTTTGAACCTGAAGGTATTCTTCCAAACTGCCTGGCATGCTGAAATGGATTACCTAAAGCATGTATGTATATTGTTACACGAGATGCAAACAGGTAAAGAGATATGCTCAAGCATTTTAAGGGTTTGCCTTAGACTTACAGCTCCAACATCTCCCTTGTCAAGTCCCATGCCAAATGCCACAGTTGCAACAACCTTCCAAAACAAAGGAAAATAGTTGAATTCTGTCATTACTTAACTTTTAGTTGTAGTTTGCATGTGTATATTTGACACAGGGCAAAGGGAAATCAGTAAAATTATTTTCTCACCACTCTAATCTTGTTGGAACAAAATGACTCCTGTATGCGAACACGGTCTTTTGCAGGTAGTCCACTGTGGTACCCCTGGAAAATCAGTGGAGCTAAGCTTGATTAGAGTGTAAATGTGTAATTAATCATAGATACAGGTAAATCGGAAATTTTAAAATGGAAACAACCTTTGCCATGATGTTGTTATTACGTAAATATTTGCTTATCATGTCAGTCTCAAACTGCGCAAACACATCCCAAAGTTGCTTACAGTTAGCATCAAGCATAATACAGTAGGAAATTAAAGCAACTTTAAATTTGGAGTACTCTCACCTGAAATTTGCAGTACACAATAATGCTTTGAATCTTCTTATATGGAGGAGACTCCATCAAAATCAATAGATCTTTCAATCTGCTAGATTTTCAGATTCACTCAGTTACAACAAAAGGAGCAGAAGGGTGTAAATATAATCAAAGTACTTGCCTGTTAGCACCACTCAATGAGACAGTCAACTCAAAATTGTCTCTCAGTTGTGACTTCTGAATAAGATTAGTTGATGGTATCTCTAGTGCAGACATGACAGCCTGCAGAGTCATAGTAGTGGCGGTTGCAGTCATTGCAAGAACGCATTCTGCCTTGAGTTCAGAACGGAGCATTGATGCCTTGAGTCTCATGTATGAAGGGCGGAAGTTATGAGACCTATTTAGAACAGCTCTTAAAAACCGAGAAAAAACACAACAATAAAATGCAATAGATTCTACTACAGTCAACAGAGAAAAGCAATCTACCAGATGGAAAGGAGCTCACCATTCTGATACACAGTGAGCCTCATCCACAACGACAAGAGACACAGTTAAAGACATGCGAAACATTGACAAAAATTCTGCATTCAGAATTCTCTCGGGCGATACAAAGAGAACCTGAAAGTAAAAAAAATAAACCCACAACACAATGAAGTAATTCCAAATCAAATACTTTCATAAAGCTATCAAATACCAAACAGTCTTATCAAAAGTAAGCTGTCAAAAAAAAAAACTTTCCAGCAGACAGTACCACGTACCTTTATTATGCCCTCTTTAAGTTTCCGCAATGTTTCTGTTGCCTCCTCAGGTCTCTACAGAAAAAAATTCCCAAAAAAGACTCCATTAGACACTACTAAAGACTATAAAATGACCACCGCAACAAACACTATTCTGTGACACACACCTGGCTACTGCTCAAGAGACCACCTTTAATAACAGAAGGCAAATGCTTCAACTGATCGATCATCAGCGACACCAAAGGACTCACAACAAGCGTGATCCCCGGAAGAATCATTGCCGGAATCTGGTAACATAGAGACTTACCAGCACCTGTGGGCAATACCAGCATCGTTGAAGTCCCACCAAGGACCATCTTGATCGCCTGCAACTGCCCATCTCGAAAAGAATCATAACCATAAACTAAATTCAACAGCTTCGTCAAACTCTCATCAGAAACCTCATTCTTCACTTCAAGAATCGCATCTTCTACTAAGCTTACAAAACCATTATCTTCCTCTTCTCTAAGTTTTTGCAAATCCGCTTCTTCTTCCAACAAGATTTCGCCTTCACCATTTTCTTCTGCCTTCTTGTACCTCTTCCCTCTGTATGCATACTTGCTTCTAGATTTGGATATGCCTTTGTATTTGCTCGGAAACTTCTTCCCTCTTTTGCCATTTAAGTTCAATTTCACGAAATTACCTTCACTGCCACCGCTGCGACGAATCACTGGAGCTTTCACCGGCGGAGAATTGATCGTGTCTGTGATGAGATTAGGAGGCTTTCTCCTAATAACGGATTTTGGAGGAGCAATTGCCACTATTTGATCAGGCTCCGGCACGAAATTGATTTCGTCCGATTTCGATTTCTCTTCTGATCTAAGAGAAGCTCTACGGAGTCTGGAGAATGACGAAACGGAAGAGGAAAACCCAGCAGTGTTGGAAGGTTCGCAGATCCGGAAAGGGAGATTTGTGAATAATGGAGATGGAGCTTCCTCAGAGTGATGATTCGGAGGCGGCTGTGTAGGTGCTTTGGGCTTCTTCGTGCTAGAGGAGGAAGAAAAAGCAGCTTTCCGGGAGACCGGAGGCAAACGCCGTGGCGGTGGCTGGGGAAATGAGTCGCGGGGAGGAGTGGCGGAGACATGAGAAGCATCGGAGTCTGAATCGGAATCCATTGAGGAAATAAATCAAAATCATTCTCAGAAATTAAGAATTTTGGGGTTTTTACTGATTAGGTCCGTGCCGCTCTTCCTCGTTTTCCCGCCAAGAAAAATAAAACAAACAAAAAAGTGGAATCATGTTGTCGTATATGATGTAATTAGAATGTGTAGCTTTTCGTTTAGTTGGTTTAGAACTTTAGATTGATTTGGTT